CCAGGCAGATATGGATCTTCTGTCAGTACACTTGAAATGGTCCGAGAGGTCTCCTGGCCACAGAATTAACTGCTGCACTCGTGCTCCTAGTAACTCATTTCCACAGCATCCCTTCAGCGTGTGTGCAGAGTAGTGAGACTGGCAGAGAACAAACTGATTCCCTTACACCACTGCGCACAGAGGGCGAGCTGGTGCCGTTTGCAGAGTCCTGTGAGGCAGGGTGGAACTGCACCTGCTGTGAGGGAGGACAGGGAGAGATTCTGCCTCCAGACGGGGCGGCGTAGGCAGCTGCTCTCACTGCATCATTGGTGTGGGTAGTGCGGATTGCTTCCTCTACAGCTGGTAGGCATTGTAGACTCCTAGGGTTGAAAGGGACCTCGAGAAGTCACCTAATGCACCCCCCAGAGCTGTGGTGAGACCAAGTAACCCTACACCATCCCTGACATGGGTCTGTCCCCCCAGGTCTTAAATACCTCCCAGGATGGGGATTCCACAACCTCCCTTGGAAGCCTCTTCTGGAGCTTAACTCCCCTGAGAGTTAGCCAGGCCTTCGTAATATCAAACCCAAATCTCCCTTGCTGCAGATTAAGCCCAATACTACTTCTCCTACCTTCCGTGGCCATGGAGAACAGCTGATCCCTGGCCTCTTTAGAACAGCAGTTGATGTGTTGGAAGACAATTACCATGTCTTCCCTCAGGCGTCTTTTCTTCAGACTAATCCTGCCCAGTTGTTGTAACCTTTCTTCATAGGCCAGATTTTCACTCCAGCTTGTCCACGTCTTTCTTAAAGGATGGGGCTCAGAAATGGATGCTGTACACTAGGTTAGGCCTCACCAGCACTCCTCCCCAGGGCTTTCCAGTAACTAGGAGGCACCAAGGAATGAGAAATCCCTGCCCACAGGGACTGCTGTTGTGATGGGGGTATGCAGGTGGTTGCACGTGAAGCTGCTTGCACGTGTCCTTGTGGCTGCACAAGGGCCAAGGGCCATCTTGTCCAGTGTTTCTTTGTGTTGAGTAGTTGGCCCCTTTAGTGACTACTCTGACTGGGAGAGTCTCTCTCTGTTTCCAAGGCCAGACCTGAGATCTCTCAGGTCCATAAGGGGCTCCAGCTGTTTGGGCTTGTGACTCAAGAATGTGGTAAAGCGCCTTTGGGATCCATTGCATGACGAGAGGGATCTGTGCTGTATTGCTCTTGGCAGCGTCCCCGTTAATTACTTTCATGTGTGAGCATTTGTCTGTCTGCACTTAAAGCTTCTTGGTCTTGCCTCTGACTGCTGGCCCCTCCCAGCCTGTTCTAAAGGGACTCGTCATGGGGGCTTTTTGAACTGCTCTTTATGGCTGAGATAAACGGTTTGGAAACCAGCTTTAATTGTGCATTTGCTGTCGAGTGAGCTGGGAACCGAGGGAGCCTGGTTTGAAATACACTGACTCAGGCCCTGCTTCAGAGGCCACACTTAGGTCATTGTGTCCTAGCTAACGCAGGGTTAGTCTCTGGTATGGTCTGATGCTGTCAGTCTGGAAGCAATGTGAAGTCTGAGCCATTTGCGCTGCCTCTCCTGTCAGTTACCTGGAGTTCCATGCTCCCTGCAGACGAGATGCTGTAGGGAACCACCAGCAGCCCACGTGGTGGGCACGAGGGAGCTCTCCTCCGAAGGAACCCGCTTGGACCGCCTTAGTCCAGAGTGCGGTCAGTGAAGCACAGGAGCATTTCAGCCCCTCCATGGCTTCCTTCTGCTTCAGCAGATGGAGCGAGCCATTGCTTACAGCTGGGGGTCTGAGAGGCAGGGCTTGCTGGAAGGAATGCATAAGGCCGCAGCCATCTGCTGGGCTAGATTACTTTCATTCAGACAGTCATTGGCATCTTGCAACAGGGAGTGAGCTGCTCCCCAGGCTAGGTGCGGAGTCAGGAGTGCTGCTCGCGCTCTGTCAGCACCAGAACCAGGTCTGCAACCCTGCTGAAATCTGGGAGAGGAGCCTGAATTGAGCTCCCTGCATCCCTCGAGGGTTAAACTGGCAGATGGGGGAGCTTGTGGTGGGAGAGGTCAGGGAAGCAGTGATGGGAGAAGGAGCCCAACATTTCTGATTCTCCCCTTGGCTCAGATGTTCTGTTGTGAGGCAAAGCAAGGGACTGCTGGAACAAACAGGCTTAGTCCAGCAATGTCCCACTCAGCTATTTCCCGAGGCCATTCCAGCCGGTCACGTCGAGCCTGCCAGCACATACACAATTCAATGCTACAGCTCTCTTGGGATCCCTTGCTTCCTGCAGGGTTGACGCAGAACAATGGGGCTGGAGGATGCTGTGCTGGGGAGAGGCTAGAGAAACCTCCTCAGAAAGCAGGTGAACCATCACTGAGTCTTGGCTTTGCTTTGACAGGTAAATGACTCAGCGCTGAGACCCTCCGGCCTTTACTGCAACCAACTTTCCTCCACTGACCTTTTGAAAACAGAAGCTGATGGGGCGCAGGTCAGTAAGACACTCCTAAACCCAGACCCATCTGAGGTACAAAGAGGAGATGTTTGGTCATCTCGGTAGCTAAACTTCCTTGCACCTGTTTTATCAGCGGGTTTGGCATCAGGGAAGGTTTCTGTAGCAGCAGAGAATAAACTGCAGGGCTCAGGCCAGTAGGACCTTCTATTTTCTGTGTATTATAGTGCTAGAATCTGCTTTTGATTGCAACGACCTGCCCTAAAAATCTTGCTCTGTTCTCCTGCTCTGGTTGAAGCCTGCATGGCTCAAGGCTCATTGCTCTGGTAGGAAGGGTAATCATCCCCAGCAGTGTGAGGAGTACATCAGTGCAGTAAGCTGAGCTGGAAAAGTTACTGGACATTGGAGAGAGGGGCGTCACTAAAACGCATCAGCTCTTAGGCTGGCCCCAGGTACAGTGACAAACGAGTGATGCTTCTGCCTTTGAAGGGTCAGATTTGCTGGTAGAACTATGTTAATGGGAACATCTGCTGTCCGAATCCTCGTTTCCATGACACGTGTTGATCACAAGTCCCTTTATAATACATCAGTGTGTGTGTTTAGTGCCTTGAGAGTACACTGAGCCCGATTATAGTTGAACCGTTTGTTCGGGTCAGAGAAAGGGGTTCAGCCCTTTTTGCAAATCAGGCCCTTTTAAAATGTCTCATGTTGAAAACCCAAAATCACTAGCAACTTTTGAGTATCTTGCACCAACTATTGCCTTTCTGCCTGGCAATACTGCCAGTTTTAGCCCAGAGCATGCATCCAACCAGCAGTGTGGAACAAACCAGCATTCTACTAGTTTGTTTAGAGGTTACATATTCTGCTTCAATAGGAACTTCTCTTTGTCCCCACATTTGCTGGTGACTAATTGCACTCCTGTGCTGCTCTTGTGTTGAGTCAGTTTTGCAAAACTTGCCTAAGGCAAGGAATTCTGGGCTTCTGAAGCGCTTATAAAATAGCATCAAACAGCATAATTTTTTCAGTAGCATTGTCCTTTGAGTGAGTAGATTTTTGCCCCTGAGCTGGTTACCATTGTCAAAACTGGTAATACGTATTTAAAACAAAATAAAAGTTCTATACCTACTTGTAATTTTGTAATAACCCAGTAAGTATTACAAATCAGTTGTACTTGTCGCCACTGTGATGCTGTTTGGTTTCTATTTTTTTCATTTTGCTCAATGCAAATCAGCTAGTCAATTTCACACTTTTAATTTCCTGGTCAGTTTCACTTTGTGACTCTTACTCATTAGGATACTGCAGTATTTCGTTTGCAAAGACTATAGGGAAATATTAATGACCAAACAAAACAAAACAGATGGTATTTTTGTTGAAATAAATAGAGAAGGAAAACATGCCCTACCTTTTGGTTCTATGGTGCTTAATTTTGGACCTAACTCTATCTTGGTATTGTCCCTTGCAGCCAGTAAGAAGCCATGGTGTACTCTATTCAGCAGCATAGCATAAGCATTCTACCTTGTGCATCTGGTCTATTTGGCTACAGTCAAAGGGGTTTCAACGGTATTAAAAAAGAATGGATACTGGTTTCCAGCCTTTGATACTGTGCTCCCCTCAGAGCAGGTGACACGGACAAGGAGGCTCTCAGCACAGAGTGATGGCTGGCCGGCAGCTGGAGACATGGGAATGCCATTTTTTTAATGAAAAACATGTGAACCTTTCAGAACTCTGATCCAAATGAGTGCAGTAGTTTTCTTTTTATAGGAAAAGAAGACAGAAGAGTTCTTCTCTGTGGTGACTACAGACTAGAGGAATTCTCTAGTGAGTTTCCACTTCACGTAGTACCCAGTCCATAAGCCAAGGGGCCTGTTCCTTTTTCCCTCTAAAAATCTCTCTTGTCTTTTGTGTCCCAGCAGGTACAACAGGTTCAGGTGTTTGCTGACGTGCAGTGTACAGTGAATCTGGTAGGCGGAGACCCTTACCTGAACCAGCCTGGTCCAATGGGCTCGCAGAAAAGCACGACAGGTCCTCAGACCCCTCAGGCCCAGCAGAAGAGCCTCCTTCAGCAGCTACTGACTGAATAACCGCTTTTAAAGGAATGTGAAATTTAAATAATAAGACATACAGAGATATATAAATATATATATATTATATATTTTTCTGAGATTTTTGATATCTCAAACTGCAGCCATTCTTCAGCTCGTAGTGTTTGGAGCAAAAAGTTTTTTTTTTTTTTGGTCTTTTTGTTTTCTTTTTTTTTTTTTTTTTTTTAAAGGCGTTGGATGTTGGCAGAGCGACAAGGCGGGACAGTCGGTTTCTTGAGCCAAAATTACAGATGATTCTTATTTTTGTAATCAGTTGCTGGCATTTTACTCCGGATGAAGGTTTCTCGGGGAGGTTGGGGAGGGGATGGGGGAAGAAGCGAGTTGAGACTGCTTCGGAAGGAGGAAGATAATCTCAGTTTCAGCTGGATCTGTCACTGATTTGTGTCTCAGCCTAGTGAGAAGGTGGGGAATTGGTGCCGAACTTCTATCAAAAAGGCTGTTTTTATTCATGCTTAAAAAACCCAAACACCTTCTTTCCCCTCTGCCCCAGTCCGCTTGTGCGTACAATCAGCTTTTTCTAGCAATCGTGAGTTTGTCAGTTTTAAAGAAAAACAGAGTATTTTGACCCACCATTTTTTCCATGTTTTATGCTGGTGTTTAAAGCCTCCTGATGAAAGAGGCCACAATGTATATATTACATTGGGGGAAAAAAATAATAAAAAGACAAAAAAAAAAACAGTTTTGGGGAAAAAAGCTGCAATAATTTTTAGGGGGGAGGAGGGGGAGGGCTCTGTCAATTATTGTAGATAACATTTTTCTGATTAAATATTAAATAAAATTAAGCAGTGGTTTTTTTTCCTGCTTTGATTGTGCTTAACAGCTCTGAGATAGCGTAAACTATTTAAAATAATAATAATAAAAATAATAAAAATTCAACTCTGATGGGAGATAGCTTATTTTTTCCCCTCAAACCTATCATTGTACATAGCTCTGATCTCATGTATAAATTTTACTTCCTTTAGTTGAAATCGCTCTTAATATCATTGCATTTTATTTGATTTTTTTCCCTCTTTCTGAAATTATGCTGGTGTGTGAAAAATGTGTAGCTTTAATGGCTGAATTTGCAAGCGTTAAAAACAAAGAAACCGAGCTGGCAGCTAATGTTGTATTGCTTCCTGATTACTGTGCTATGCAGTGGGTGGAGTTCTCCTCTCCACATTGGAGGGAAATGGCTGCTCGGGGGGTGGATGGAGGAAGGTCTACTCTTCAGAGGTGCTGAGCATTCATCCTTCCCACTAGTCAGTAGGAACAGCGGGAGCTCTTGTCTCCAGTCTTTGCCCCATCACTCCCAGCTACATCTCGCTGGTGCAGATCCATGAAAAGGCTGGCTGCTGGGCAAGAGGGATGCGTGCACGACATGTCTGCTCAGCAGCTCTCCATTGGTGTGGACTTCAGGCCTATACTGCAGGGAAAAGGCATTCAGAACCCACCTGGGCTACCTCTCTGAGTGCAGGGGGGGACAGGTCTGGAGCCAGGCCCAGCCCAACCCCAGAGCTCTGAGCTGGACATAGAGCAAAGCCCCAGAGCTCTAGGCAGCAGGACAGATACCTGCTATTTGCTCTCCACCACAAAGGCAGCAGCACACTGGCACATAGCTCCATCTCCTGTCCCGCAGCCTGTGAGATTCCTAGAGGAGGTGCAGGCTCTTTGCATCGATTCACTTCCCCCTAGACAGAGGAGATGAAGAACAGCTGGGCGTTAGAGACAGTAAAATGAGGGTGTCTACTGAGGGCAGGTCTGCAAAGCTCTGAGCTTTGAGCCACAGGGCCAGTTAGTGCCCTCTTCTCCGGGGGTGGGGAAGACTTTCCATGCAGCACCAGGAAAGCACCACTCACCAGGGCGCTGGGGACAAATCAGCCAATCCCCCTGTGACCACAGCCAGAAAGGAACCATCAGACCTGAGTACTCCAGAATTCCCTCGGACTCCTGAACGGGACTGTCTTGCCCTCATAGGTGTTGCTGGAGCCAGGGCAGTGCTCTGTCAGCTCAGTGCCCACAGAGAGGCATTAGTGGGATACACTTGCTCCTGACTTTGCATTTATAGGCTGCACAGCTGACGTCCTCCTGCCCGCCAAGCAACGGCATTGCTACCTGGAGTGAGCTAGTGGTTTGTCTTTGGAACCACCTTCCGGGCGAGAGGGAAAGCCAGCAAGTCGTCGGCCTTGACTCCCGCAGCAATGCTGTTGTGATAATTAGACTTCAGTTGGGATGGGTGTGTTACACTCGACTGTTCAAGTGGAAATGATAAATAAAACAGTATGAAATACACATCCAGGACAGTACCTTGAATCCCTTGCCTCAGGGCGTGATCTGTACTCCGCGCAGCAACCCCAAACAAGAGTCTTGGAGATGGGGTGAACACCATTCTCAGCTGAAGTAGCTGGGGGGTGGGGGCTAGATTATTGGAAACATATAATTATCCAAGTTGGAATTTGGCCCATACGCCAGAGTTAACATTGTACAAAAAGTTCCATGAGCTCTTTTAAGTGACTGCATGATCGGAACATGGCTCTTGCATCTACCCTGAACACTGGAGACTTTATCAGCCAGCGTCTGAGAGAGCTATTTAGGGAGATCTCTTCACCATATTTGATGTGAGCCGAACCTCCACATCCTGGCCACGTGCAGGATCTTTACTGATCACAGATAAGGAACTGCATGTCAGGTTCAATGCACCCACAGTCATCCTCACCCTGCATCCCCACCATGCTGAGTGTAATAAAGGCCCCCAGGAGTGTGAGCCTTATGAGGATGCTAGCGCTCTACCCCACCATGGGCAGCAGCATGCGTGTTCATGCTACAGCAACACCCGGCACAGAACAAGACAGAGGCACTCTGCCGAAATAAGTATGAGCCGCAGACTGTGCCGGGGGAAGAGCTCACAGGTAAATTCCCTTTGGATCTGTTCTTCAGTTGATCATTGGGGCAAGATTTAGAATGTGAGGCACTTGAGAGACCCCAGTACAAAGTCGATGCCTGGTGCAACATGTACACTGTCCTCTTGAGTGGGCAGAGCCAAGATGCCCTTTAATGGGAACTCTGTCTCCGTATATGCATGGCTGCTGCCTTGTTAGTTCTTTAAATCGAGGACTTCCATCCCTCCTTATCCCTGCCCTAGGGTATGTCTGCACTGCAGTGTTTTTCAGAATGGACGTTTTTATGAAAAAAAGTTCACTTACATCCACCCTGCAATCGTGTTCTGCTGACAGTAAATCGGAAGAACAGAGGGGTTTGCTGACATTGGTAAACCTCCTTCTGTGAGGAAGAAGCATTTTCCTGACAGCTGGGACTGCTTGGTCTTCACACACAACACAACCCTCAGAGCCTGGTAGGGTTCTTTGTTAGTCAATTTCTGAACTTCCCTGGGGCCCCTAAATTTGGTATTCGAAAGAGGCCCTAGCCCTAGCCCTGCTGCATATGGACTACCTGCCCTCTCCAGCCATTCTTTGCCTAGCCATCAAAACCACGTTCACAACCTCCGTGATGAAGGTAAAGGGCTCTAGCATTTTTAGTTTTCCACAGGCCTTTTTCATCCAGCACAAGAAATCCTGCTGAGTTTTCGGCACAAGGACTGCAGAAGTCTGTACCGGTTCCATGCATAAATGGAGCTGAGTGGATTTTAGTTTGAACTCAAGTTACCAACCCCAAATGGGTGTAATGCCCAATGCAAATTAGGGCCCCCTTCTATAAGGGTGAAGCAGTCTGATGGCTGAGCAGCTACGGGTTTCCATATGCAGCTTCACCCAACCCTGAGGAAGGATGGCTTTGTACTTAAAGGCACAGGCCTGGGTCCCTGGTGCTCCTGTGGGTCCCAATGCAGCCTTGGTGGATTACAGAATCTGCCTTCCCAGGGGCAAACAGCAGGCACTAAAGCTGGCAGAAAAAGGCAAAACAAGAACTGATGGGTAGAAGCTGATGCCAGACAAATTCAAATAAATAAGGCGCAGTTTGTACTCATGAAGGGGATTAGGCATTAGAACAAACCACCAAAGAGCATAGTGGATTCTTTTAAAACTGGCTGACTTGTGGGCCAATGGCAGAATTGGGTCTTGAAGGATCTACATGAATGTTGATGTGCTAGCTGCTGCTCCAGGATGGGCTCAAGCTACACTTGCCTGTAGATTTGCAGGCCTTGGTCTCTAGCAGCAACAGGTTGAAACTTGTGAGCAGGAGGCCCGAGCTGCTAATTGGATTGGTGCAGGCAGACCCCCTACACCCAAGCAAATACAGCCACAGGAGTGGAAACCTTAGAGACATAAGGTGCCAGTGAAATAGTGCAGTGACTTTTTCCCAGTGGGTCTTCATGGTCAGGATGGGGTGACCCCTGCACCAGGGGCAGCTCCACCCTTGTGTGGGGTGGAAGTGGGGAAGGACCTGCTAGCTCCCAACTCATGAGAGTCTGCAGCCCTGTGGCAGTGGGGGGAAAAGTGCTATTGGAGCAGCTTTCTGCCCCTGGGTGGGGTCTGCTCCCAGGGAATGGTTAACCATTGCCTGGTAAGCACCAGCTCTTAAGGGTGACCAGTTAAAAGTTCACATCCCCAGTAGACAAAGACATCTTGAATTAACAAGCAATGAATCAAAGTGACTGACTAAGGATATTTTCACTAGGGCCATTTGGGTAAAAGCACCCACACTACCCTAATCAATGTTTATATGCACATAATGAAAATTTGCACATTTTGGTTTTTTTAAACCTAAGAAACACTCTCCTGTGTCTATACTCCACTTGGCCATCGTTTTAATTTAAAAATTTGAAATTCAGATTCTAGGGTGAAAGGCAGCTGTTTTGTAACAGAACACAAGCGCACGCTGGCTGTTTTCTCTTCCAGAAGACATGACTTAACTGTCTGCTCCTGCATGGATTTTTTAGGTGGGGGTTGGACTTTTTAAAACCTGTTTGTAAGTGAGAACACAGTGGAATAAATAGAGGAACTAATCCTAAGGATGTAAGTAAATCTGCTCTGTTGGTTTCCCTTTTCTTATACAAAGTACCATCAGAGTCTACTCGAGTGGCCCCAAACACTGTACTAAGAGTGGACTGAGGTGTAATGGTTTCTAACATTACTAGAAATTGTGGTGGGACTCTTAAGAAGTTAACTGATTGTGGTTTTTAAAGGAGCACTGAAAGGACAGAAAGCACTGTTTTTACCACTTCTTCCTTCTTTATGATGTAAAGGGAATGCCTGAAAGATGGCTGGTTTGGATTCCTTTTGCATTTATTTGACTGCTCATTTTTTACATTATAAATTAAGGTTTTGTCTGGCCTGTTCCTCCTGAGCAACTTTATGCAAGACTGGAGATTGCATGAGACTATGTAAGAAATTATGCACCTGTAACTTGATTGAGGGGAAATTATTTCTAATGAGACTGTTTAATGCCTCAAACAACTGAAAGAAAAGCTCTTAAAATTCATCACACACTTAACTTTCATTAAAAATTCAGAGAGTTCTCAATCCACAGACCTGAAAAAGAGAAAGTATGTTTGACATTCCTTATAAAGCAATCAGCTGACTAACCTTTTTGAAGGGTTTAAAAACAACTCCCTCTCCCCACCTTCCCAAAACTTCTTTCAGGGCCAGTAGTGTTCAAATCTGTTTCCCCCTTTAAGTCACCTTTAAAAGTGTCTGGGTCTGCCTGGAAAAGGAAATGTGTGAAATACCCTAAATTCTTAGACTTGTACCAACCTAGGCAGAGAATTAGGTCACAGTTTCATCCTTTCGTTAGTAAAGCACTTCAGAGCAGAAGCAAGGCTCACAAATGTGCAGAGTAATAATGATGGCACAATCTAGCCCCCAATTTCCTCTTCATCCAAAGGAAATGAATATATATTTTCATGCTCAGAATCCAAGGAAAACCCACATCTGCAATCTTAGGGGGGACCAGATGCATGGTATGGAAGTCTGAGGCCTTGTCTATGCTAGCAGCTCCATAGCTATAGCTCATCCCTTGTGCACTCCTGCAGAGGAAAACCATAATGCAGACAGGGTGTGACAAGGGTAATCACCCCAGAAGCCTGTCTGCATTGAGGCTTCCACCATTGCTCTCAGGGATGGCTCTGCACCAGGGGTGAATAACAGTTATGGAGTTCACCTGTTGGAAGTACTGATGACTCAGGCTTCATTCATTCTGTAGCATCATAGCCCCAATGATGGACAGTGCTGGGTCACCAAGAAAACCTGGAGTAACTCCACTGAAGTACAGTGATGTTGGATTTACGCCAGTGTGAAGGGGATACTCTGAAATCCTGGGTGTGTCTGGTCATCTTGCTGGCAGTACCCTAGCTTTAAAAGAAAAAACAAACCATGGATCAAGAGCCCAAAGCATATTCTCCATTTGGGAATGAGAAAAAATAGCCAGTTGCATTTAACAAAGTGAGTTTTACCCACAAAAGCTTATGACCAAATAAACCTTAGTCTTTAAGGTGCCACAGGACTCCTCATTGTTTTTGCAGATTGAGTTCTTCAGCAGCACTTCTGAACCATCTTCCAACACCTCAGAAGCGCTAATGTGCACCCTGCTCACATGGCAACAATGCTTTATTAGAAACGCATGGATGGAAGTGGGGCAGTGCCGATTAAATAGCTTCAGTAGCAGCCCTGGGGGGCCTACGTGTGGCTATAGCCTGTAACTCAGTCACTGAAACAGGGGCAGCTTTAGGTTACATCACTGTCACAGCTTTCTAGCTAGGAGGAAAAATTGTTTTAAAGCTAGTAATGTGTTGTCAGTACCCCCTATTACTGTGTCTGCTGCCTGGTTACATTGAATTTAGTGAAGCCATTATTTCCTCCCTATTAAAAAAAGGAGGGGGAAACATGAAAAAAATGAGAGAATATTGCAGTCTGACTTCCTCCCCATTTTTGGTTACTGCTAGTGACGCCAACAAAGTTACTCTTGCTTTATGGTAATGAGAAGCGAATCAGTCACTGCAGATCCTAATTATTTCCTTTTAAAAAGTGTTTCATGTGTTAATTTCTTTTTTAAAAAAATCCCATAGTAGAAAGCAATTTTGTCATTTTAAAAAAATTATCCAAAACCCCCCTAAGGCATGGATTTGTATTTTGGCTTTGCTAGAAAACCATTTTATTTTAACTGATCCTACTTAAAGTTGAATTCATATTATATTATGGAAAAAAAATCTCATTATTAGGTTTCCCCCAATCAGGGAAAATGGAGAGAATGCACTGAAAGATGGAAAATTGATCAATCTTGCATTTAATAGCTCTAATTTGCAATGAGGCATTTAGAGAGCACTTTTGTCTTAACATAAATGTTATTTTTGAAGAGTGACTCGTTTTGCATATTTTTCCTGTATTTGAAATGAGGCATAGTTCTTTAGCTGCTTGACTACTCTTGCTTTCTGCTGTTATAGCATCAGCTTTATTCAATGTTTAATTATCAGTTATTGTAAATAAAGTCATTTAAAAATTAGGTTTCTGGTTGCAGTCTGCTTATTCTATTTCATACAAGAGCTACCAGTTCTATCACTGCATTGAATTAAATGGGAAACCGTCGACAGAATACACAGGCGAAATGGAATGAAAATGCCAACAGCCTCCAGAATGAGGATCCCTTGGGGCACAGCCGCTCAGGCTTTCAAGGATGGATTGAGGGGCAGTTGACCTTGGATGTTTGGGCTTTTATAACCCTTCAAACCAGATCAAAGGGCTCTATTAGAGCTCAGTCTGCAAACCCAGTAAGCTGAAGCAAGAGCAAACAGGAGACTTTAAAGAAAGCCATTTTTTTATTTTCAACCCAGATCCACGGAAATAAGAACTCAATTCACATGAGCCACACACAAGCCAATGAAACTTACCTGCATAAAGAACTAACTTGGTTTCTGTAACAGGCAAGTTTTGTCCATGGGCAACTGCACCTGCATGGGCTCAGATATAGCAAGGGTTTGCTGGAGTGGGACCCTCTCTCACTAGCACTGCTAGCAGCTTGCATTTTGCATTTCCTTTAGCTCGGACAGTGCTCTTCGATTCGTGTCCCTTTCTAGCTCTGGGACATTAGCCCAGCGTGGCTGGCTTTGTAACCACACGTGGGGAATCATCTAAATCCTATCCAACAAACAGCTCCGCTCACCTCCTCTTTGAAGGGCACCATTAACCATTTCTATCCATAGTGTATTAACAACCCCTTGGGCTCTCACAAGCTAAATGCCCAGTTTTAGCCAAGACACCTGGGTTTCTTTAAAATTCCCCCATTCGACCCTGCAGCAATGTGGCATCAAAGTGCCAGCAAATGAGGCCTAATGCAAAACGCACTAGCACTTAACACTGGGAGCTTTGAATAGCGGTCCCAGAGGGTCATTTCTATCCATAGTGTATTAACAACCCCTTGGGCTCTCACAAGCTAAATGCCCAGTTTTAGCCAAGACACCTGGGTTTCTTTAAAATTCCCCCATTCGACCCTGCAGCAATGTGGCATCAAAGTGCCAGCAAATGAGGCCTAATGCAAAACGCACTAGCACTTAACACTGGGAGCTTTGAATAGCGGTCCCAGAGGGTCAAGCAATTTGTATATACTCACACTCGCTCCTTATGTCAAAAGAACAGATTTTTAAGCTTTCCCTTGTCTGTTGCTCGGCTGTTTGTGCTGGATGAGGAGCAGTCTCAGTTGAAACAAAAGTAAAACGTGAATTTGAGGGAGGAACCTGAGAGCAAGGTAGTTGGGTTCAGAAGAACAGGGATTTGACACCAAGCAGAGGAGCAGCGTGGCGGTGACTCAAAAGAGAGACAAAACAATAGTGCCAGTTGTAAGCAGAATCAGAATAAGGAAAGCTATCAAGGCTGAGCAGCAGCAGAGCTGGCAGTGTCATGCAGGGCAGAACTATTTGACAGTTCTGATCTTCATACAGAAGTCAGAAATAGAAAAGATCGGTTAGCTCATCTATTCTGTTCCCTGGCAAGTGATGCAAGAACACTCCTTCCAGAATACGCTAAATAGAGATTAAATTACTGGGGTTTCCATAGCTCCATGGAAGTTTTTCTGTATAGTCAACCCTACTTTCCTTTTTTTTTTTTAATTTAATTGTCTCCCCCCCCCACCCTTGCTTAGAATTTGCTTGTTTCAAATCATTGGCAGTAGTGATGTCCTCACTCCCCTTAACTGGTGTCTATATTAGGGGAAGCAAGGGAACAGCTGGCATTGATAAATTGGGTGATGAGGGCCCAAATTATGCCTTGCAGCACATTATTTAATACTGCCAAGTAGTGGGGTTCCCTGTTGCACTGAACAAGAGCTGCTCCCTACAAACAAACCCTAGAGAACTGGCAAACAGCTGTGGGTAATTCTTCTTGCTTTAAGAGGACGCAATGGAAGGGAGAAAGCAAACAGCAGTAGTGATGAGACACCTACAACACAATGGGAGAGAGCAGATTGCAAACCTGGGTGTAACTGCAGACTTGTTATAGGCAACAGATTTAGGGCTCCACCCCAGAGGCATCACCCCCACTGTTAGAGGGCAGATTGCACATGAGAGTCATGACTTGGAAGTCCCACACAAACTGGAGAGTGCTCAGAGAGAAGCAACAAGGAGGATGAGAAGTCTGGAGGAGCTCTTTTAAGGGAAGACAGAACTAAAACAGTTGCAGCACGACAAATGAAATGAGATTTCAGAATTACCTACTCTATAGGCCATAGGGTAGAAGAACAAGTCAACATCTGAGACAGGGTAAAATTTAGGCTGAATGTCCAAGAAAACTTCTGGCCCAGGAAACAAGATCTGTTCATCTAAGGAATATTTTCCCCCGGAAGCAGAAGTAGTTCTATTCCTGGAGACATCTAAAAAGGAGAGTGACAATCTAGTGAATCTGTTGTATGGAAAAGCCCTACTCTGTCTGGGACACAGGCTAGGTGCCCCATTTGATTGTTTCCATATTTGCTCCGTGCAATTTTAATGGCTAAAGACCAGTTAGTGAATATTTATTCTGGAATAAGCTACATTCATACATTCCACCAAAACTCCTTTCCATGAAAGTTAAAGGAGTGTCATCATCTTCATTGAAGGTTTTTGGCTTTAACAACTTAAAATTGCCAGCAACATGCAGTAAAAAGGTTCTTCAACAGATGCATCTTAAAATGATGCTTTCCGGACACATGCGGCTTTTGTGTCTATGTTTTGCAGCCAAGAAAGCTATATGGTCTGGTTAAGTCTGTATGACTGGATGAAGGTGAGGATCTGTAATGGGAAGCCACGGTGAAGGTCACTTGAGCAATTTGAACTTCTTCAAATGTTGGTGCACTTCCTCCTTGGGGTAGGGTCTAAGTGCGATGCAAGTAGTTATGTTCTCTGGCTGCTCTATCCACACTTTATGATCGATGTTGTGTTGCTGCAGAGTCTCAGCTAACGTTGTCAAGGCACCCTCATCCAGAGCCTAGAGAACAAGGGGTGAAAAATTTACTGTGAACTCAAAGTGAGATTCCCATGGAGAGCCAGCAGTAAAAGCATCCCTGATCTGACTAAACAGATCTTCATATTGCTCCTTCCCATCCATGTTGACAATTGTAACTCACTATCAAAAGAATTTAAAAGCCGTTCAACTGTATATGCAAAATAAAGAGTTATCCGCATGCAGCAGAAATGCAGTCAGTGTGGAGATAAAATGTGGCAACTGTTGCTGGTGCAGAATATTTATAGCTTTTTAGGAATAGAAAAAGGGTAACTGCCACTGAAACTTCAAAGGGACCTACATAAGTTAACCCTTGCAAAGGCATCTAGAAATCCTTAATGGAGGCAAGGCCTCCATTTTATGTGTTGTCCAAAATAAGTCCAAAGTAGGAATAAGACCCTCCAGAAAAGGGCACTTTTTCCGGAGGATCGGGGCCAGTGTAGACGCTCTTTTCCGGCTTTTTTAAAAGCCGGAAAAAAGCGGCGGACATTTTTATTTAAATGCCGCGGGGGATATTTAAATCCCCCGCGGATTTCCCTACGACGACTGGTGAAATTTACATGCCCCTTCCGGAAAAGGGGCCAGTGTAGACGTAGCCCTTATGTACATGCAACTGAGCCAACAGAAGACTGCCCACATTCTGGATTGGCACCTAGATACCACGCTATGAGCACAACACAAAGAGATTATTATTAAGACTATGATTTTATAACTGAGGTCATGGAAATCAGGACATCTATGACTTCCAGCAGCCTCCATGTCTTCAGTGAATGGCAGGAATACCCTGCAGTTCCCAGCTGCAACTGTGCCTTGGGCCACATGAATTCTGAGCCATTGTGGGCAGGAGGGGGACCCCGCAGCCCCAGGCTGCCCGGGAACTCTGAACCACTGTGGGCAGCAGTTACCCCACTGCTCCTACAGGCAACAGCTCCTATATTCCACAGGTCCTGGCTACCCTGGTCCCTCTCCCCCACCCCTCTGAGAACTCCGAAGGTAGCACGGGACCCTGAAGCTTCCAGCACATACCCCCAGAGTTCTGAGCAGGTCCCCACAGGTTAGCTGCAGAGTGCGGGGCTGGCATTTTTTTCTAGAATATTGAAAAAGTCTTATTGTGACATCAAACCAACTCATAACTCAAGGCTATTAAAATATTAGTGTGACTTTTCAGCAGTGGGTGTGAAGACCAAGACTCCAGCTACCAACAGGAGCAATTTCAGAGAGATGGCACAACACACACATGCAGATTGTACAATGAACTTCTCCCATACAATGCTTCTACTCTGCGCTGATTAGGCCTCAGCTGCAGTAGTGTGTCCAGTTCTGGGCACCACATTTCAAGAAATTGGAGAGGGTCCAGAGAAAAGCAACCGAAATGATTAAAAGTCTAAAAAACACGACCTATGAGGGAAGACTGAAAGAATTGGGTTTGTTCGTTTTGGAAAAGAGAAAACTGAGAAGGGACATAACAGCATTCAGGTACATAAAAGGAGATGGGGGAAAAAATTTCCTGTCATGGTGGTTAAACACTGGAATAAATTGCCTAGGGAGGCTATGGAAACTACATCATTGGAGATATTTAAGAGCAGATTAGACAGACATCTGTCAGGGATGGTCTAGATGGTGCTTGGTCCTGCTGTGAGGGCAGGGAACTAGATCTGATGATCTATTAAGGTCCCTTCCAGTTCTAGTGTTCTATGATTCAGCCTGGCTAAACCAGAATACAGGCAGAACTGTGGAACAAACAGATTTCAGATACAGAAAGCTCCCAAATAAGCATCTCAAAGCTGCAACAAGTTAGTTTTGAAAAGACCTATTGCCACCTACTGCCTTTTCACTGCCAGTAGGTAAACCAATTCTTGAGGGTAACTCAAGTCTGCAATTCTCCGGGAGTGAGTGGTAGAATCTGCTTTCTAGAGATTCAAGGGGCTGCTATAGACAATTACTAGGAAAACCATTATCATGTCATATAATAATATATCAGGCGGGGAGGGCTTGGCACTTTACAGATCTCACAGTGTGTGCTGACAAGCTCAGAGTCTAAGGTTTAATCTATGCTACACAATAATCATGCAGCACCAGCTATGCCAGCAAATCCCCTTGGCTACGTCTACACTGGCCCCTTTTCCGGAAGGGGCATGTAAATTTCACCAGTCGTCGTAGGGAAATCCGCGGGGGATTTAAATATCCCCCGCGGCATTTAAATAAAAATGTCCGCCGCTTTTTTCCGGCTTTTAAAAAAGCCGGAAAAGAGCGTCTACACTGGCCCCGATCCTCCGGAAAAAGAGATATTTAAGAGCAGATTAGACAGACATCTGTCAGGGATGGTCTAGATGGTGCTTGGTCCTGCTGTGAGGGCAGGGAACTAGATCTGATGATCTATTAAGGTCCCTTCCAGTTCTAGTGTTCTATGATTCAGCCTGGCTAAACCAGAATACAGGCAGAACTGTGGAACAAACAGATTTCAGATACAGAAAGCTCCCAAATAAGCATCTCAAAGCTGCAACAAGTTAGTTTTGAAAAGACCTATTGCCACCTACTGCCTTTTCACTGCCAGTAGGTAAACCAACCATCAGTTCTGGCAGCAAAGGCAGCAGCTGAAATAGACTTTGGGGGAAGAGATGATGACTTACCACAACAGACTGTAGGAGGAACAGGGAGGGGTACTTTTTAATATTTGTGGTTCAGCCTCACAACTATATTTTTCTTCTGTATGAGGCTAGTTTATATGGAATGAGGAACTATCACATCAGTTAATGCCAAGAGTAGCACAGACAGGTATTCCACTTCTACTGCTAGGTAAACAAGAAACCCTTGCCACCATATAGCACTTTTGAGGTTGGACCTCTCTGGTCCGGCACCCTTGCAACCTAGATCCTCTGGAAAAAGTGCCCTTTTCCGGAGGGTCTTATTCCTACCCCAGGCTCCCCCTCCTCTCCAAACACTCTACCTGCTGCCCACTCAGCTCCTGCCAGGGCTGAAGCACCACTGCCAGAGCTCTGCAGCTTGGGCTGGAGCTCTGCAGCTACCTGGCTCTGTAGCCGAAACCAGAGACCCGTGGCTGGGCCTGGGACTGGAGTTCCCCGGCTGCAGAGCTCTGGCCCCAACAGCAGGGGAGCTCCAGCCCCC